TTACTCCACTGTAGGATAGTGCTATTGGGGACAAGTGCCAGCCCAACACTGCTCTGTCCCACCTCAAACTGTTGCAGTCCTACGCTGGCAACAGGTTTGGCGGAGGGAGAGGAGGTCAGCCCTGGGCTCTGGATGGCAGTGGAGGGGCTGGCTGGGGCACAAGAGTGCCAAAACTGTGGAGCCATGTGGCTGACCCCCGAGTTTGCTGCCAGCCCAGGGCTGCAGCAGTTGGAGCTGGGGCAGTGCAGCCCTAGGCTGGCAGCAGGCTCGGGGATCAGCTACATGGCTTCACAGTTTTGGCACACTCATGCCCCAGCCAGCCCCTCTGCCACCTGGAGTCTGGGGCTGACTCCCTGTACCTGTTGCTAGCCTGGGGCTGCTGTGTCCTGGCTCTTAACTGCTGCAGTTACAGGCGGATGTATAAATGCTGCACCAGAGAGCTGTTTTTTCTGGTGACAGACTATGCTCGAGTTTATTGCTTTAACTTAATTGCTTATGTAGATGTACCCAGTAGTACCTAAAAGATTTGCATAAAGTATTGGATTCAAATTGAGGGGTTTAGCATTAACCACAGTTAGAAAATTTTGGTTGTCAGTAAAAGGTTTGAAGTAAACAAGTTATTGGTTTGGTAATCCTGCTTGACTGCAGCGATGGTTTCACACTGGGCATCCCTCCCTGTTACCCCAAAGGGGCCCTATACTCACTCCTGCACTCTGATGCCTCCAACTGCACCCTGCACCATGTTGCCCTGCCAGCCTACCCTAACCAGCTTTACCCTAACCAGCCTTGCTTCTCCTGTCCTAGCATTGGCCACTAAGGAAGGCTACCTGTGACCCAGCAGTATGACGGGCAACCTGGGACACAGCAGCAGCATATGGCTGAGAGAACATTCCCTGCAGGGTGTTATACTCCCACTCGAACATCGGGTAGCATTGCTCTGCTCTGCCTGTCAGAGCTTCAGTTAATCTGTGGCTGCTTAGTGTTTTAACTGACAGCTAAAGTTTTTTTTTTTTTTTTTTTTTTTTTTTACAGACTTTACTGACAGCCAATTTTAGCCTGATTTATTTATTTATTTTTACTGACAGTTGGTAACCCTGGAGCCAGGAGATGTAGCTACACTGTTGTAGCTCTACTGATGGCTAGAATGGCTAGGGTTCTGTAGACAGCCCTAACTTTATTAGCATATGTAAGTAAAGCTATGGTTGTAGGATGTAGATGCATACCTCCAGTAGCTTTGTTGAGTTAACAATAGCAGTCAAGATGCAGCAGTTTGAGTTTTTTCCTACCTTAGCAATGCAAGATACCTGGGACTGTATTCTGATCATTAGATCAGGCAGAAGCCGCCTTTCTTGTTATTACTTGCTTTTCTGACTGCCTTATAGCTAAGCAAATATGTCCAACTTCACCACCATCCATTCCCTCGTCCCACCCGCATATAAAAGTATCTTTAATACTGGAGTTTTCGTGTGGCTCTCTGATTCTGATACAATAGAAGGAGGTAGTTAGCTGTGTTAGTCTGAAGTTGGGAAGAAAGCAGGAAATAGTGGCATTTTATAGACACTGCCCTTTTAGACACTTTATAGAGAATTCTGAATTCATTATATAAGGCTCTCTGCTTTTTTGCCTGATACAATAGTTAGTGGTTGAAATGCTTAGCAATGCTAAGTGATGATGACTAAGCCTGACCATTTACCTCCATGCTGAGCTGATTGCAGCGGTGGAGTAAGCAAGTTTTTATTTCTGTTAGTGCTTTTGTTTCAGTCTGTTAGGCTAAATAAAACGAGAGTGCCTTTGTCTGTAAGCAGACAAGGTTCCTTGGGTGAATCTGGTATCTTTTATTAGACCAACCCAAATAGTTGGAAAATAATTATTAAGCAAGCTTTCGGGTTCAAAAACCCTTCATCAGGCTAAGGAAGTTTCGGCAGTTGGTGTGTGCTCTTCCTGGATGGAATGTCTATAATGCATTCTGCAGGCCAGTTCCAGGACCAGAGGAGAATGCACTGCATTTTTTTCAATAAGAGATATTACGTTCTGGAGAAAATGTGTTCTGTTGAATCTGTGTCCTGTTCTAAAGTCTGTGTTCAACAGAACACAGGCTTAAGATAAGTCTTCTCTGTTTTAGAGAAGACTCTGAAGATTATGGATCTTTGCAGCCTGCAGTTTCTACTATCCCTGGCTGCTTTCTTACCAGTATTAAAAGCTATTTCCAAAGCATTTATCCTGTCAATATTTGAGCACCCTCTAACATGATAGCTAGAATACTTCTGAGAGAGAACTTTCATTTCTGCTGCCTTTTACAGTAGAGTTCTTAACTAACTTCAAATGCTAGAGGCTGATTCCTCTTCCATTGAGTTTCTGGCATTTCTTTAGATGAGTATGTTACAAATTTAAACAGGCGCAACTTGCAATAAACCTGTAGTGCTCATACCATAAAATCAAGGCTGCCAAATGTGAGAATTTTAAGTGACAGACGATAGAACCCTTGTAGCTCTGAGCACAAGCTAAAATGACCACAGAAAAGAACGTGTGGTATTTGTGCGTTTCATGATGAACATTTGCCTATGCTGTGAAACTGTCATGTTTGGCTGAAGGAGAGTTTTGTTCAAGAAAGAAGGATCTTGGCATGGAATAATTTCTTCTCAGTTAGAGAGAAGTGTCTCTTCCAGGGTTGGAACAAGGCTTTATTCACGTCTTAAGCACAAAGGAGGAGGCTACTGCAAATCCAGGTTGAGGGTCACTAACAATACAGTGTCGAAAAGGAGAGCAGACCTTGTATTCTTGGCATCTTTCACTTTTGTTGTAAACAAATTTGTTGGTTTCCACTGGTACGGTTATAAGAAACTAATTGCACAAATGAAAATGTGGGAAAAAATTGTTCTTAATAGTCTAAAAAGTCAGGGGATCATGGAAAGGCACCGCAAAAATGAAAGCCATTTCTTACAATCAAGATATTTGAAATGGAAGCAAAATATTATATGAGTTCTAATTGTTCTGGCTGTTGTGAAATGAAGCTATGAAATGTTCCCTCCTGCAGCTCGTAAAACTTTACTTCATGTACCAGATAGATTATTTTGTTTTTATTAAACAAAGTTGCACGTAAACAGTGCTGTGTACCGTAGAGATGATAATCTCTACCCCCCCCAAAAAAAAAGCAACAAAAAAACCTTAGTTGTATATCAGGAAAATGCACTTTGCAAAGCCCTTTCAGACAGTAGTCAAGTTCGATATACAGTTTATTTTCATGAGCAGTTGAACTGCTGTAACTTGAAAATTGTGTGGCAGAATGCATTCTAGGTGAATTTGAGGAAGGGAAATCTTTGTTTGGATTGTGAATTCAATTTTTACTTTTTCCAAACTAATTTACAGAAGTGTCACTTTAACTTCAGTTGAAGTTTTTCATGTGTCAGGACTGTAGGCTGACTCTAATTAGGAGAGAAAAATAATAAGGATAAAAATAAGCATATTTTACAGAAATGTGTAAGCCTGGGATTTTTTTCCCTTCAAACATAAGAAGTAAGGCTAGTGGAGTAAATAGCTTAGAAAAATTGAGAGAGCACATCTGGCTGGCTTTAAGTCGGCTTACCTCATTTGATTCTTTTTCAGAAGACTGATATATATTTAATGGGACATGTATTGAAAACAAACTTGGATGCTTTTTTTCAATGGTAAAATGGACTGAGTGCCTGCAGTGCCCAGTTGGAACACCCCTCTTTTTATCCACTTTAAACACTTCTTTACAAGTTCTGTTTCAGACATGAAAATTACTGTCATTATTATACAAATCATGTATGTAGTTCTTTGGCCATATGATCACAAAGCATTTCACAAAGGCAGGCATTGTTATCCTTATTTACATTAACCAAGGCCTTTTCTGAAGATTCTAGCAGTCAGCAGGCACAATGACTAAGTACAGACAGTCGGAAAGCCCGAGGCTGAATTGATTCAGTCTTCACCAGTTAGTGTAAGCTGCATAAATTGAATTGATAAACAAGTGAACAGACATTCACTTTTGATTCTGGAAATGCAGCTACATGCCTGCAGTGGCCCCGGCTAGAAGCTGGGGGGTGCTAGAGCATGCCTCCTTGCTGGGCTGGAGGAGACAGCTTGGGCCAACACTAGCCCACCTCCTGTGTAAGAGGCATTTTGTGGGGGAGGTGCAAAGCATCTTGGGATGCTGGGGGACTGTGAGTTAACTTGAGTCTGGAGGAGATCTGGGCCAGAAGTTCAATAAACCTGTTTAACATAAATCAGTTAAATCTGATACTACATCTATCCAGATTTATCTTAAACTAGTTTCGGACATCTTGAAAGCAGTTTATGTGCACTGAACTTCTGTTGTGTTATAGATTTGAATCAGTTCCGGTTGGTTATACTGGTTTATGTTTAATTTCTGTCCCTAGCCAATCGATTATAGCTGTATCAGTGCAAACCCTTTGGCATGCACAGGTGAACCCAGGAGTTTGGTTTTCCAGATTCAGTTTACACCAGTTTAAAAAAAAAATGGCAAGTGGCATTAGAGCAAATCACAATTTATGGTGGTTTTGCTTCTGACTGTATGACCATACCTGTGACCATAATTCTCAGCCTAGACAAAAGATCACATTAATTCCATTTTGATTTTGGGACTTGGATGTAAGTTAATAAAATGTTAATGCAAAATTGTCTGGAAATATTATTTTCAAAATCTATTTGAAAATTGTTTCCACAAAGAGCTATATATTAAGTACATCACAGGGTGAAAGTATACGCATCCTTGGTGTACAGATACATGCAAGTTTGATTTTGCTGGAAATGTGGATGTGTATTATTATGGTCTGAGGATATCTGTTTAGATAGATGATGTAACAGAGTATAGTAAGAGAATCTGCTTGACATTGTTAGATTCAAGGAAATGAAGTGAAATTAAAGTCAGGCAACAGAAAATATTAAGATGGCTTATGGGTTTCAAAAGGAAGGATCCTGGGTGAATGACCATTGCATGCTTCATGGTTTTTTTACAGTAACAAACGACTTGTGGCCTTAGTGCCAAATGACACTCCATTCAATACTCGACGAGCCTACACAAGCGAAGATGAAGCTTGGAAATCATACTTGGAGAATCCTTTGACAGCAGCCACCAAGGCTATGATGAGCATAAATGGAGATGAGGACAGCGCTGCTGCTCTCGGCTTGTTGTATGATTATTATAAAGTAAGTTCCTTGGTTATTATTACTTCCCACTGTACTAACTATCAGGACCTGTTATTGAAAGCATGAAGGAAGGGAGTTGTATCAGTTAACAAGTTTCAAAGTTAAGAATCTGTGTTGTCTTTCCAGTGGACATGATCCTTACTCTCCTCTACCATATTAAGTAGGCAGTTTTATGGCATTTTGATTTGGTTCTCTTGAGACCTGAAAATAAAATTATAATCCATAAATGTGCTCTCAGCCATCATTTTCCTTAGGCCAGTATTTTTTACTTTTCTTCATGTCAAAAACAGCTTCTGTAGAAATCTATATAAGCTTTCTGTATATTGATATGAAAGGAGTGTCCTTTAGAAATTAGGAGGCCAGTGCTCATTTGGAGGGGGGTTTTTTGTTTATTTATTTTTGGGTTTTTTTCGGTGCTCTCATGGATCATTTTGACTAAAAGGCACGGACAGATTAAATATTTAGGCTGGCATAAAAAAAGTAGCAGTGTGGTAATGCAAGCCCCTAGATTCATGTGATATGGTAGAGAATAATTCCTAAAATAATTGGGAATAAATCTCTACTATTGTAAATGATACTTGTTTGTTTAATTTGTTTGCATCTACCCAGGAATAGCTGCCTGCTCAGTACAAACAGCCTATCACACTCTACTGCTACATACTGACAAGGGAACACCAGCTACCCACTGAGTCAGCTATCTTGGGATAGCTGCGCATCTGTCTGTTCCTGAGCCCAGTGTAATTTACGTTCATATACAAAACCGATGTAATTTATCCTGAGATGTCTGTCTGTGCATATCCAAACCAAAATTTTTCTTTGTCTACTCTTTGACGACATGATCTCCCTGATGGCTCTTATTTGTATTTCAGCTGGATCTAGAATCCTAAAGTAGGATCCAGGGCCCTTTTTTCCAAGAGCTTTACAAACACATAATAAGGGAGAGTCCGTGTCCTAAGGAGCTTGCAAGCTAAATGGACAACAAGCTAGATGCAAGGTAGAAGAGAAAGTATGATCACTTCTGTTTAATTATATGAAGCTGGAGCACAGTGAGACTTAAGAGATTTAATCAGTGGCAGACAAGAATCAATGTGTGACAGCTATGATTGACATAAATCTGAGTCTCAGTCCAGCATCTTAATCAAAGAGCTTATTTATTTCTGTTTCTCTCTCTTATGTCTGAGCATGGTTATGGCTAACACCTTAACCCTGCTTATTGCCCTTGATTGAAGTCGAAGCAAAAACCACATACTGCTGCTAGCAATTTTGCAGTGTTGCACCTAGGGGAAAATTCTGTTCTAAGTCTTGAGCTCCAAGGCATGAGACTTGATTTCAATACCCATTTGTCTAAACTGAATTCTTAAATCATTTTGATGACAATAAAGCTACCTCCAGAGCTGACTTCAGTGAGGCTTGTACAGTAAAATTCCTGTCATCCAGCATGAGTGGGCAATGGGGGGTGCTGGGTATCTAAAAATGCTCGTTACCTGAGGTTGGCTGTTTTTGGCTGGACACGGAGCTAGGGAGGCCGAGGGTGGGGGGTGGCAGTGGCCGCATGCAGAGCAGGGGCGGGAGGGGTGGTGGTGACCACATGCAGAGCACCTACAGCACAGGGTGGTGGGTGGCGGCAGTGGCTGCCGCGTGCAAACTTTTCCCCTTCCCCCCCTGCCTGCGTCTGGCCGGCTGGTTGGAAATTCCAGTTGTTAGTGTGTTCCGATTACTCAAATGCTGGATAATGGGGATTTTACTGTACCTGTTTTTACAGCAGTGCTGAGTTTCATAGATTTCATAGACATTAGGGCTGGAAGGGACCTCGGAAGATCATCGAGTCCAGCCCCCTGCCCAAAGGGCAGGAAGTCAGCTGGGTTCATAGGATCCCAGCAAGATGAGCATCCAGTTTGCTCTTGAAGGTGTTCAAGAGTTTGACAGTCTGTCTTTTGCTGTAAAATGTTAGCAGAACAGTAACTTAGCACCCCAAGTGTGGAGGCAGAGCTGGAAATCAGCAAATTAATTCCATTTATTTTCAATATCAACACCCCCAAGAAAATATTTTTACTTTTTAAACCTGGTAAAACAATCAGACAGATGTTTCAGAGACAGCCTTTTTGTTTGGGAGGGGTGGGGGGGTAAACAAGAAAACTGAGAGCAGTGTGATTTATTTCAGTCATATACTTACAACTTAATTTAGGTCTTCCATTGACTGTATTCTAAGAGAGAGAGCTTTCATGCATTTTGGTCAGTATAAGGGTGTCTTTCCCAAAGAGAAGAAATAAAGACCCAGATTCTCATCTGTAAAGTAGGGTAGCTCCACTGTAGTCAATGGGACTACACGTGTTTGTGGGATTGTGGTCTACATTAGTAATCTGAGCCTTTATCTCAGTATTTAGCAATCTCTTCTTCTCCAATGTTTAGAAAAATGAAAGCAATCTTTCAATATTACTTTCTGAAGGACATTCTGTTCCTCTGTATAGCCTTATGACAGCTAGTCCAAACTATTCTGGGGCTCTGAGTGAAATAGGTTGTATAAAGCATTCTCCAATAACTGATAACAGTTGCTCCTATCTTGCAGCGGAAGATCAGAAAGGGCTCTGTTCATGTTAATTTTAGGTGGCTCAGGAAACTAACTGTGGGTTTGTCCACACATTAGTGTGTGAAATTAGGTTTAAACACCCTTAGGCTTCTTAAAGTTACACCACTCCAGGCTAGGTTTATCTGTGATCCGTGTTACCCAGCTCACGTTACGTTAATGTGGCTACTCCAGGCTACATGTTAATGTAGCACCCTGGCTTCCCCCCGCCCCAAACCACTGAATTGGGCAGCCCACCTCCTCAGCAGCCTGGCTTGGGCCTGCCATCCCCTACTGCTCTCCTTCCCCAGCTTGTATTAGGACTTCCCCCTTGCCCCTCCCTAGGGGCAGAGGTGGGACAGGGGGAGCCCTAAGAGGCAGCGTTGGGGAGCCCAGAATGGAAGGGGCAAGGGATGGAATGGGTGGTGCATTCTTACTTTCAGTCCTCAAGGCCCCTATTAGCCTGAACGTGTGGCTGCTCTAAATTCGAGCTAACAGTAACGCTAACTACCACTTTGAGAAGCCTAAGTATAATGTGCAACAAGGGCCAGACATTGCACTGAGAGTTGGACCCAACGTGGAAGCTAAAACCCAACCCAAGTTTTTTTTAAGAGCTTGAGATAATAACAAATTGAAAATTGCTTGAGAGCAAATGGGGGCCCAGGACCTCTCAGATGTCAAATGGCAAGGCTGAGAGAGTCTCCAGACTCGCACTGAAGGTGAACTGCAAAGGGAAAAGCACATTCATGTTTGTTTGTTTGTTTGTTTTTGTTTGTTTGTTTGTTTTTAATGTGTGCTTAGGGAGCAAGAAAATGTAAATGGCTGTAGATGACATGTTGCTGTGATTTTTTTTATATTAGACAGTCAGGTCTTGTCTACCCTGTGTCTAAGCAGACAGTATAGAAAACAAGTTGATTTATGAGACTGTAAAATTATGCAAGTGAAACTTCACTAAGTAAAATAGGGAGTGATATTTATCATCATCGTTGTTTTTATTGTTTTTATTCAGGCTATTTAAAATTAGAGCCTGATTCCTGTGCTGGGGACAGGGACCGGGGCACAGATGGACTTAAGTCACCTCTGAGTATCATGTATTCCAGATTTATGGAGGGCCCTGCTCTGACTTAAGTTCTTCTGGTGTACCTAGGAAACTGGAATGTAGCTGTAGTTCATTGCTTTTTGGTGACATGCCAACGTGCTGCCAATACACCCCCTATGACAAATGTGGAAACTGTTGCCACTGCTGCCAGGAGTATTCTTTGAATAGAGGATATTCTCAGGGAACTGTTTCTGTATACTAGAAGCCCCTTTTGAGCTGTCTGAATGGTCTAAGTAAAGCCTTGATGTATGCTTTTTGATTCTATTTATTTCTGTTTAGGACAGTGGTGCTCAACCTCTGACCCCTGGGCCTGATCTGGCCTGTCGTGCCGTGTCATCTGGCCCATGGGGCTCTCCACTGGGTCCAGAAATTCAGAACCTAGATAAATTGACAAGAATTGCTTTTCTTTCAGACTCTGAGGACCTGAATGCAGATTTACCAAAATAATCAAATAGTTTGAATTCACATCTCTGGTATAAATTTACATATATAGAAAACTTGAGGTTTGATTCTCCTGATAGTCGAAAGAAAAAAAAGCAAGCCAAATAACACCTTTTCTGGGGCAAAGAAAATAAAACATGTTTTTTGCATTCTTTATACATCCAAGAAAACAGAATTAAATGTAGTGAATATTTCCCTGTTTCAAGATCATCTTTTGGTTTCTGGATATATTTTAGAGAGAAGCATCCCCTGACATCTATGTGTTTGGTATCCCTGACCTAAATGAACCTTCCCTTTTGTTAAACTACTAGATTAATCTGAAGTTGCAAATACAAACTGTTACATTTGTCTGACCCATGCCTGATGCTGTTCTCAGGTTCCCAGAGATAAAAGGCAGTTGTCTGTTAACAAAGTGAGTGACAGTCAAGAAGACCAAGATAAAAGGTAGAGTATCATTTAAAATAATACACCAATACACTACCACTAACAAAAACTTTATCAGATGTGAATCAAAAGAACTGTCAAGGCCTAATGGCTTATGGATTTCTTCCAGAAGATAAAATAACAAAGCCTGCTGTGGGAAACTGTCATTATGTACTTTTGTTTATTGAAAAAAGCAGGATTATTTTTGAAATTGCAATGTGCAAAGCAGTGAAGAGGTGCAGTGAACTTCTGTTGTCTGAAAAAAGTAAAATGTAAGAACATATTGATATTAGATATACAATTGATTTTACTTTGTTTTTTATTTACTTAATTCTCTTAATTTTTCCTATAACAACATTTTGGCTATTTTAAAGTGATTAATATAGTTTTATTAGCTTCATTTCATCTCTGAGAGGACGCAAGTAAAATAATGTCATTAAAATCACATTTTCTCAAACATGCTTCTTCCTTCATACCTCTCTGATTAGAGGTTTTTTTTTCTTGTGTTTTGGAGAAGAAGGTGCTAATAGGGCCAGAGGTAGCTTACAGAGGTGCTTGGCCATGTTAATCTGAAGTCGGGAAGAAGCTGGGGCAGGCTGACACCTTGAAGGGTCTCCAAGCCAGTTAGTCTCTAAGGTCCCACCCTGCTTTGCCTTCTGAGAGGTGGGTTAGAATAATAAGTGATTTTATTAAGACTTCTGAGCAGTAGAGTGGGAATGTATCTTTACAAGAGGGGGGGGAAAAAGTGTGGTTGTTTACACTGAGAAAGCAATCTTGATGTAAAGTCCTCTTGGCATGAAGGTGCTGTTAGTTATTACCTCAGTGGAGCTAGCTGAAGGAACTTCTAATGTAGCTACACTGAGGTAAAAACTAAACTAGATAAGTGTCTCAACATTAAAAACACACTTTGCTGTAATAGAAGCATAGTCTGAAACTTCTTCTACCTGAATCTAAGAAGAAATTGACTCCAGAAAAATTCCATAGCAGGGTACTGATTGACCAAATATTCCTTAGATTAAAAGCCAAGATGGAAGCATTACAACATTAGAACAACTCTCACTGGGTGAAAATAATAACTAAATGTTTAGCAGTTGTTGGACACTGGAAGTTTTATGAAGAAACTTTCTTATGTATGTTGTCCGTGAGTAGAGAGAGGTAGCTAGTCAAGTTAGTCCAAAGTCAGGCAGAAGGCAGACTGGAACCTTGAAGACTAACTTATTCAGAGAGGCAGACGCTTTCATAAGCAACATCTTACTTTATGAGATGCTACGAATTGTCAGATAGCATCTGACAGTAGGCTGTTGCCTACAAAAGCTTTTGCCTTTCTGAACAAGTTAGTCTCTGAGGTGCCATCCTGTCCTATCTTGTGTGATGGCTGCTATGCATGACTGAGGCCTGTTCAAAGGCATCTTGACTAGGGACAGAAGTTACACATAAACTGGTTTAAGTGATCAGAAACTGGTTTAAACTTGTGACAGCAGAAGTTCAGTGAACACAAACCAGTTTAAGCTGGTTGAGTGTAGTATCACACTTAGCTGATTTGGGTCAAACCAATTTATGCAACTTCTGCGCCAGAGCCCTTCCTAGTTTAAGTTAAACCAGAGTCCCCCAGCATCCCAGAATGCTTTTCAGCTCTGGGCTGGGCTGCCTGTTGTAGACAGAAGAGCAGGCTCTGCTCCTCTGTTCTCTAGCTGGAGCAGGGGCGGGGTATGGCCAGACACTGGTTGGCATGGCCCCCGAGGCAAAGGCAGCAGGGAGGGAGCTTATTTCCCCCTCCCTCCCCTCTCTCGCTGGGGGACTGCAGCCAGGGTCAGCCTGGTTGGGGTGTAGCAACCCCTGTCAGCCCTCCCTCCCTCCCCCTCCCATCTGCAGCCTGAAGCAAAGGAGGAGTGGGAGGGGGATTTAATCTCCCCCTCTGTCCCCTGTCCTACCAGCAGCCTGGGTCTACCTGGCCAGGGCGGAGCAGTGGCACAGCCCCTGTCAGCTATTCCCCCACTCTCCACTCCAGTGGCAGGGAAAGGAGCGAGGCCAGATCTGGCCGGCATAGCCCCACCATCTGCCTGCCTTGCCAGTGGCTGGGGCTGGGGGACTGATCCTGGATGGAATGCAGGTACTGATGAGTGGATGCAGAGGGGCCATCCTGAGCTGGGCTGCAGGGGCCAGGCCCTTTCCAGGAGGCTGCAGCTTGGGAACTGCGTGGCCAGTTTCATGGACCGCAGCTGCCACGCCGCCTGCCCTGTGCTGCACCCAGTGGCTGCAGCCACATCACAAGCTGCAGGGTGTCCAGGTTCTGCCCCCCTTGCCTCCACTTGCCGTTGCTGTGGCTGCTGCTTCCCCTTGCCCCTGCTGTGCGCCACTGTGCCACTCTGCGTGGGTGGATGGGAAGCTTTAGCTTTGCGGCTTCTGCCCGGGGAATGGAGCTCCGACTCTAGCTTTGGCTGCTTTCTACCTGCTGCGCCCACCCACAGGGGTTGTGCATTGTGCTGGGCAGGCAGAGGGGATCGAAGGCAGCCAGAGCTGGAGTCAGATCTCCATGCTCTGGTCAGAAGTCATGGGGCTGAAGCTCTCCCTGCCCCGAATGGCACTATGTTGGGCAGCAGGAGCTGCAGCTGGAGTGAGGGGAGCAGAACAACCCTGCTGGGCCAAGCCAGCTTCCCCTCCCCTCCAGGGGCTGCTCCCCCTTCCACTCCTGCCCCTGCTGCACCACTACAGGTGGCGGGGTGGGGAGGGAGGGGGTGGGCTTCAGCCCAGGGCATGGAGCTCTGGCTGCCTTCTGCCTGCTCTGCCCTCCCACAGGGGCTGCTCATGGTGCCGAGTGGGTAGATGGCAGCTGAGAGCTGGAATCACTGGAGGTGAGGGGAAACTGGTTTGGCCTGGTGGGGCTGTTTTGTTCCCCTTACCTCCAGCTGTGGCTCCTGCCGCCCTGCAAAGCTCTGGGTTGGGGGGAGCTTCAGCCCCAGCACTTGGAGCTCTGGATCTAGCTCCAGCTGCCTTCCATCCCCTCCACCCACCTGGCGTGATGAGCAGCCCCTGCCATGTGGGCACAGCAGATAGAAGGCAGCTGGAGCTCCATGACTTGGGCAGAAGCCGCTGGGCTGAAGCTTCCCACCTGCCCACCCAGAGCAGTGGAGTGCAGCATAGCAGGGGCAGGTGAGGCAGCTGCCATGGTGGTGGCAGCTGGAGGTCAGGGGTGCAGAACAGCCCTCCTGGCCCCGGCAAGCCCACAGCTTGTGATGCAGCTGCAGTTGCCAGGTGCTGTATAGGGCAGGGGTTGCAGTTGTGGCTGCAGTGGGTGGCTGCTGGGCTTGGGGCTTCCCAGTGCCTCCAAGCTGTCTGGGCAGCCTGCTACCCGGCCAGCCCCCACCCATGCTGCCAGGCTGGGCTGTGTCAGAGCCACAGCTGCTGGGAAGGGGCCTGTTCAGCCAGCTGTGGCTTCGTGACAGCCCCCAGCCCAAGCTGTAGCCTGCTGGGAAAGGCCCAGCCCTGATGGCTCAGCCCTGTCAGCACCCGCAGACTGGCTCAGCTCAGTCCCGTAGCCACAGCCCTGGGTGGATAGCAGGGCCATGCTGGCCAGGCCCTCCTGTCACCCAAGCAGGAGCAGAGGGGAAACTGGCTGCTGCCAAAGGGAAGGGAGGGCTGCTTTAGTGCCCCCCTGGCTTCTAGCCTGAGCCACTATAGGCATGTGCCTGCATTTCCAAAATTAAAAGTGAATGTCTTTTCACTTGCAAAGCGGTTCAATTTTTGCAGGTTAGTCTAACCTGCAAAGTTTGAAATAATTTAGGCTCCAGCTTTTTGAATGTCTGTCCCTAACCCTTAAGTTAGAGCTAATGTGGTGATATTGCTAAAAACTAGAGGGCACTCACAGCACTTAACTGACCCAGTTCTGATGGGATAACTTCAGAAGTGCTTTGGCAGGACCTACCCCAGAAAATCTAGTAATGACCATCCTGGCTGCTAAAAAGGGTATATAGCTAAATATGAATCTTGTTATTGACAGATCCTCTGTCTACTCCATATGATAATCATGTTATTTTCAGTGCTATCTATTTCATATTGCTGTTGATGTTTATTTTAGCGAATCAGCCCATGTTGTATATTGACTTTATATCCAAATAACAGTCCAAGAGGAATGAAAAACGGTTTATGTACAATTTGTAGTGGATCAGCCTCCTGAGATGTCATGTCCTATATTTTAATTGCAAAGGGCAGCCAGTAGTTGTTTCCTGGTAACCTTTTCCAGTCCCACAGTACATATAAGAAATTTTGTAGTGGGTAGTATATTTCTCTGTAGACATCTTTGGCAATCAGCTTCCTATCTAAAGGAGATTTGGTGCTTATATTTGTGAGGGCAATTCATAGCTTTTCATTTGTTTCACAGGAGTTGTCTTGGTGCTAATGAGACTCAGAGTAATTTGAGTGGAGGAGAGAACCGAGTGCAAGTCCTGAAGACAGTGCCAGTTAACCTTTCCTTAAACCAGGATCACCTGGAGTCTTCCAAAAGGGAGTACAGCACAAACGTATCTGGGAGCCCAACGCAGGTTTCTGCAACTGGAATTACTGTGGTAAAGGTAGAAGAGTTCACCCCAGTCTTTATGGCCCCGCAAGTTCATTATACAAGAGGAGAAAATGAGGAACACCGTGGGGTTATCTTTGAACAGACTCAGTATGAAATGCCCAACATTGCCCCCCATACAAACTATCTCAAAGATGACCAGCGTAGTACTCCTGATAGTACTTACAGTGACACTTTCAAAGACGGAGGAACAGAGGTAAGATTTTTTTTTTTTTTCATTTGTGCATTAGTATCTATTGAAAAGATTTAAATAAAATAAATGGCATTTGGTATGTTTTAGCTGTCTGGCAGAGAGCTGGGAAGGCAAGATGAATATCATTGGCTGTCTAGCAAATTCTCCAACTCACAGCATTTTTCCTGGTCTCTCTCCTGATACCGTCTTTCTTAAGGACAGCTTGGCTTTATTAAAATGACCACTACTGATGGGGGGGAATACAGAGAGCATTACATAGCTTCAGTCCTACTGAACATCATTGGGGATTTTGGCAATTTTGAAAGAGGGCAAGTTAACTGTTGACAGGCTGTGGCTTCACTGCTATTCAAGACAATGAGATGGCAGCCATTTTGAAGGTGAGCAATATTTTTTGAGGATATTTTCAGTTGTGAAAAAGTTTGGCAAAAAAATTACCCTGCATCCTTAAATAGGTCACTACAAAAAACACCTATTGCACCAGACCTACTTGTCAAAGAGGGAAGAGACAAACTAGGATTACAGGGGTAAGTGCAGGTGAATGTAGAGATTGAAGGGTAGAGGGAAACAGGTAGGTGAGGATGTGTCTCAAGGAAATAATGAGATTAGGAGAGAGCAGTTGGAGGGTACGTTTACACATTAATTAATGCACCATAATTATAGCGCATGATGTTTATTACCTGAAATAACAGGTACAAACTTAATGTGCCGTAATGTATGCTACTGTGCATTAGTGCAGATGAATGGGGTTTTTTTATATTAACATTCATTAGACTAAGTCTACTGCATATTAGTGCAATAGAATGGTTTTTGCCAGCCGTGTTAATGCGCGGTAGTATTAGTTTGCTCATTAAGTGTCTTGTGTAGACATGCCTGGAGTGTATGTATCAGTGCCTTCTTTGTATTGTCCTGATGATGCAAAGCAGCTGTGAGTCCAATTAACTGGTGGCTGTTTTGTGCTGCTCCAGTGACATAAGTTAGCCTGATGGTAGTGGTGAATCTGACCCCAGAGATTAAAATTTAAAAAAATAATTGAAGGTTGAAATGATCTGTCACATCATTAGAAATATAATGTGGTAAAATTCTTTTTGGGTGTTCTGTTCATTATATGAAACTATTAGTAATTTAACCAAAAATCAGGTACAAGTTGCATTAAGTTACAGTTAAGGTTAAGTATTTGAGTAGTTTAGGGAGAAGAAAAGAATACAGATATGTTGTAACCATCCTCCAAAGAAACCTTAAAAATCCAGGAAATTCAGAGTGCAGATTAAACAGTAAAAGATGTCCAAATGCATTAAGATATGGAAATGCTCATTCAGGTCACCAGTGAAGTCTTAGTTCTGCTCTATGTTGACAGAATGAGGTACAATTTATGAACAGGGATCCGGGTTTTCCATTTCCTACAGAAAAATGGAGAAAAATGTTGTTTTCCCCTTTACCCAAGGAAAACATGGCTTTTTTTATTTTAATGGAGAAACCCATGGATTTTGCACTTTTGCAAAGAGCTCTCAGGCTGGCAACTCAGAGCAACTCTTCAGGCTAGCAGAGTTCCATCCTGCAAGGGGCTGGGGGTGTGGTCAGGCAGGGGACACCATGAGCATGTATAAGTACATGGCTGCCAGGCAACCTGGAGAGGATCTCCCACAGGCAAGTCTGGTGGGAGTGGGGATTGAGGCCCCCAAAGGGAGGGAGGGAGTTGGGCAGGGCTGGGACTGCTGCCTAGCTGGGGGGTGCATGGAGTTTGGGGCCCAGAGCTGGAATGCATGGCCCCTGTGGGGGTGGGGGCGGGGTAGTGTGGGCTGGCTCCCTGCTGCAGTGCACACTTCCAGGGAGAAGGAGGGATCAGTGCCCCCCAGATCTGTGTGCGGGGTGGAGGCGGGTGCAGGCTGCCTGTTGCGGGCTTGGGCTCCCTGACCTATTGTCCTCCCCTGGGGCCTTCATGGCCCATTGGGTGCAACCCGGTGCTGCAGGGCAGAGTGGGGCCACAGTGGAAAGCTTTTTGCCATTGCAGACTCTGTGCTGCCCTGGCGATGCATCTCCTGTGTGCCCCACAGCAGGGGACATAGCCCCACGCTGCTGCATGGGCAGGGGACATGTTGCCAGGGCAACGTGGAGCTTGCAGAGGTAAGAAGCTTCCTTGCGTGGCCCCGTTCTGTCCAGTGCCAGGTCGCACCGTCTGGGCTGTGGAGGTCCTGAGGGAGGGCAGCAAGGTGGGGAGCCTGAGCCTGTACCAGGCAGCCTACTTCCACTCCCACCGTGTGCACACACATCTGAGGGGCATTGGTCCCCCCAGGAGTGCATGCAATGGTGGGGAGCCAGCCTCACCCCACCACTGCAAGCCCGCAGTGGGCAGGCAGCAGGGAGGGTAGCTGGGATCCACATTGTGCTCCCTGCAGCAGCCCCTGCCTCCTGTGGGCGGCAGCTGAGGCTCAAGTGCTGCTGCTGGAAGGGGCGGGGGGGGGGGGGCTGCAGACCCAGGTTCCTGGCCCTATAGCCCTGGCATGTGGGGGCCTCTTCTGGCAGGGCTGGGCGGGCAGGGGACTGCGGGTGGGTGGTGGGCATGAGCGGCGGGCAAGGGGAGGGGAGTGAGAGAGGCCTGAACACGCATTCTGTGAGCGAAGGGGGCAGGGGGAACTCTGATTTTTCATGATAAAAACACCAAAATCAAATAACAAATGATATAGGTATTTAGAATTTATTTCACTATAATGATTGAGGCACTGGTAGGCTTCCAAATTGGTTTAAAATTGTAAATATATCAAGAAAATATTGTGTTCAACTGATATCTATATTTATATCATGGCCTTTCATTTTAATCATGGATTTGGGGGGTTTAATCTTTTAAATTTAGTTTTATTTTTTTAAATCGGAGAATTTGTAATTTATCAGGGAAAACCAGGATCCATGTTTATGAAGAAATCTAACACACCTTTAAAAAATTCAGTTTAATCTAATCTGAAACCACAAACCACATTATGTATTCAGGCACAGCCTTGTTATCATACGGCTTCAGCTGCTATGCTGTGCTACTGGTAAATGCTCTCTTGTAGGCAAGGCTGTCCTTAGGTGGGGGCAAATTGGGGTGACTGCTCTGGGCCTTGCACTTTGTGGGGCCCTGTGGAACTGGGCAGTGCAGCCGTGGTGACTGTGCACCGCTGCATGCTTCATGTCCAGCTGCTCACTCCCTCCCCACTGCCAATGGTGGCGGCAGCTTCTTTGGGTCCAGGGTGTATGGGATCGGAGCTGGGGCAGGGCCCAACATGGGCTGATTTGCCCCAGGCCCTGCACCCTGCTTGGGTTGGCTCTGCTTGTAGGATCCAGGAAATAATGGGAATATTTACACATGCTCTGGGAGCTGCCGCGGCGGCAGGGGGAGGTAGGGAGGGGGAAGGCAGCATTTTAATTAGCAAGCCATGCTAATTAGAAGCACCTGAGCTTCATGTGTATCAGCATCCTCCATGCTGAAACTAAAGGTGCTTTAAACTAAAATTCATCGAATGAGCTTTTAGTATAAAATGCCCCGTCGCCATTTTTCAATGCAGGGATGCTGATACACGTGACGCTAAATTCTGTTGGAGTGCGTTTATTTCCATGCTCCAGCAAACTATTAATCGAGTCTGTTCTGACACGCTGGATTTCCAGCGTGTCAGAGATGGCTCCCTGCACGTCTGTAGGAGCCCAGTGTGTATGTGGGATTCCCCCAGGTTAATGCTCGACAGTGCTACTACATGTTACAGTGCTACTATATGTTACTGATGCTGTGAATGCATATTGACCGAATGCTTAATCCTTCCTGTACACAAAGTGCTGTAGAATGTACAGAATTTAAAAAATAATCTTGTTTAAAAAAAAATCATACATATGTCCTAGGGTATCCCAGGTGAAGTATTACAACATCTGTGATGTTTTATCATATGCTTTTAAAAAAAAGCATACTGTCATGCTATGCATTTAAAACAAAGCATTACACAGTTTCTGCTGTAACTTATATGCATGGCCTAGTTCTAGAACATTTATGCACACAAGCAACTCTGCACATGTAATTGTTCCCACTGAGAGCAATGGAACTACTCAAATGCAATGACTTTCCTGAATACACTTAAACAAAGACCCATTCTTAGATGATTCTATGGAATTGTAGAGATCGATGTGAAGACTCATATTGGTAACAACTGTGTGAAATGAAAAGGTCAGGATCCTAACGTCCCAAGTGGGAAAAGCAAGTATGCTTTTTGAAAAACCCAAACTTTTCTCACCAATAACATTTCTTGCTCATATTTCATTGATCTGTTGTTTGGGTATAAATACAAATATTTTGCACATGTGTGGAAATGACTTTCTTACCATTCAGAAAAAGTTTGATTTTAGATTTATTTTGCTGAGCTAAAACCAGAATCAGTTGAATTATATTTAACATGCCTTTATAAATAATAGTGCCATGAGAGTAGTAAAATAATATTGTTATAATATGATAACAATAAGCATTTATTTTACTTGAATGTTGCCCTATTTTTATTAAGGGTTTATTTAAAAGTGCCCAGATATATTACTTAAAATCTATCTTAGATTCAACACGGTTGCTTTTGAAGGTTAATAGTATACTAATTTTAATATAGAAATATTGTGTTAATTTAAAATATGATTGCTATTTAAGGATGTTAATTTCTATGTATATTGTGGGCATCAGTATTCCAAGCCATACAGCAAGAAACTAGAGCAAATGATGATATTAAAAAAAAACAAAAACAAAAAAAACAAGACTAGTCAAATGCAAATCTAAAACCACTATTGTACTATGAGGAAAAGGTTGTGCAATGAAAAGACTGTAAACTGAAATTTTCTATGAGGTGCTGTTATCATCTGACAATCTGTAGGTCTGTGAAGTCAGTCCCAGTCCAATTCCTCATGGTAGATTCTGAATGCCACCATATACCACCCAATTACTTAATTTTCACTCTTGACTGATTGGGAATAGGGGCTTAAAACACTTTAATGCGTGGACTGAG